CAACGTAGACCATACCTAATAAAAATATACACAACATAGACCATACCTACAGAAACATGTCAGATAAAAATATACACAACAAAGACCCTAGCCCTAATCTTTTTGAAAATGTATCTTTTGATATGAAATTCAATAAAAAGAGTTTTGATTATTTCTAATTATTTTCATAATTATGTTAGCTCTCTTCTGGTACTCCAAGATAGATTTGAAAAAAAATGCCTAACAGGTTGCCATCTTGAATTTTTCTATTGACAGTTTTTTTTTTACAAAATACCTGATCAATATTAAAATGCAGTTGGAGGTTTCACTTAGTCCTCATTCGGTTTTCTTTTTAAATTTCATCAGTGAATTTAATAAAGGAAAAAAAATAAAAAGGTGAAAAGGGAACAGACAAGGTATGGTTCAATTTATGAATAAAAATCTAAAAAGAAATGATGATCCAATGGTGGAAATCAGGACTTTTCAAAGAGCTACATCTCAATCCATGTAACATTTTTAATTGATATATACGCATGCACCCCCACCCCCTTTCTCTCGTCCTCCTTATTGACTTTACAAATTAAATTAATTCACTTTTTTTCATACAGGATACTATTTGTATGCAGAGTCCTCCTCTAGGAATGCAATTAACTTGATTTCTCCAAAGAAGGCAGTAAGTGGAGGTTGTGTTTCGTTTTACTACAACATGGAAGAAGGAATCGCTGCAGAACTCCAGGTGTTCATATCCGAAAATGGCGCAGATAGCCTTGTGATGATTGACAATGGTGAAATGATCATGAAAGATCAATGGTTGTTCTCTCGGTTCCCATTGCCAGCTTCAAATAATGACAGAAATGTTAGCATACGATTCCAATTCACAGGGGACAAGATTAAGTTTTTTAATGGTAGCATAGCCATCGATGATGTAATGTACAGTAACGAAACATGTGACCCAGTAGGTGAGTACTTGCTCTTCGTCTTATTGTTTCAAATTACATCTCGGTATCATCTATAGTTTAGCTGTACATATTTCCAACATACTTCCTTTATGATTACCAGTAAGACAACATTTTCATTTTGCTGCTTTTTCTTATGATCGTGACTTTATCTTTATGCTCCAGGGAGCATATAGTTGCAACATTGTCCGTCTGTCCTTTTGTGTCTGGAGCATCATTGTGCCAACGTTAAGCAAGGTTCATGGAACTTGGTGTTAACATTGGTCATGCTACGGTAATGTGCAGTGTATCAAATGTATGGCCCTTTTCTCCTTTATTACAGCGTTATTGCCCTTTCTTAAAATCTTATGTCCATTTAAACTAGGATAATGACACTTGGTATCATACTAAAGTGATGGGCAGTGTACCAAATTATTCAGGACCTGAAATACCTTAATTAATGAATTATTGCCCTTTGTTAACATTTTGTGTCGAAAGCATCAGTTTAAACTTGCTTGCATTTAAGCTAGGATAACGAAACATTGTTAATCATACAAAGATGATGTGCAATGTTACAGACTTTGAGGCCCTGGATCCCTTGTTTGGAGTATAACTTCGTTTGCAATGAAGCTAGGATAATGAAACTTGGTGTATACGTTTATTATAATATGATGATGTGCAGTGTAAACATTTTGAGGCCCTGGATCCCTTAATTACAGTTTTTGCCTTTTGTTGAAAATTTCTCTTCTGCAGCATTACTAAAAATTTTAGTATAATGATATTTATAGTATGCATTGAGCATGCAGTGTACAGTGTACCAAATTCAGTGTCAGAACCTCTTATTTCCAACATTGTTGTCCTTCCTTATTTTTATCCCCAATAAATTCTTTTTAGGAAAACATTCATTAGTTTCACTGATACTCTTGTCAATCTACTTCCTCTCTTTGTAATTATGAGAATATTTCACAACTCACCTTTGATATCATGACTTCTTTTTGAGTTTACTTTAAACTCTTGGGATTTTGACAATATTTCCACTACTCGCCTTTAATATCATGACTTTATTTTGAGTTTACTTTTAACCCTTGTGATTATGACAATATTTTCACTACACACCTTGAGGTTCATGGGTCTGTCTCCAATCTCGGTCAATTTTATACAATATTATAGAGCCTCTTATTAGATTTGATACATATTCACCTAATTTTGTCATAGCATCAAGTTCTACACCTGAAATGTTGCCCAATACGGCAAATTAAAAAATAAATTCTTTAAAATTTGCTCCTCCTAACTAGTTCTGTCCACATTTAGCCAGAAACATATTCATGTGATGGAGAATCAATTTTGTATAAAGGAGGGTCCTGGGGAAGAACCAATATGGGAAATTGTGCAATAAATTTTGTATAAAGAGTGGGTTCGGTCCCTTTTTTTGTTGAAGGGGTTGAACCCAATAAAGGAAAGAGATTAAATTCTTTAAAATCCTACTCCTCTTGCAGCATTGATTGGGTTTTGCACAGATTTATTTTTTGGTGAAAGGAGAATAAAAAGTTTCATATATAATGGATCTCAGCCCTCTGAGACTGGAGAGATTGGGCCTAATAGGGGAAATAAAGCAAATTATTGAAAATTCGACTTCGCCTGTAGGAATGATTGGATTTTGACTAAATTTTTGTCTGAAACATTCGTGGTTGAAAAGGAAGCGATACAGGCCCAGTTGACCTCTTGTTATCCTCAAATGTTCCTGTATGTAACACCTTTATCTTGTAACCACTTTAGCAGCTTCATTCATTAAGGAATTTTTATCCAAATTGCAGAACATTTGTCGTCTTCTTTATTGCTGCCAACTTGATACTGCGAGAGGATTTGTATCCTCTGTGATGCCTTGTTTATTTCAGTTGTATTTTTATTTTCAGTTCGATGTGAAAATTCGAGTTTCCTGTGTAACTCAAGTGACTTCTGTATCCCGTACAACATGGAGAGAGATGGTGTGCGTGACTGCCCAGATGGATCAGATGAAACACCTTTTAGCATTATAGACATGTCTATGCCTAAAGAAAATCGTAAGTTTTCACCAGATTCTGGTAGATGTTCCAAATTAGTTATTTCTAGACATCAGATATTTGTATGTATTATGTGTAGCAGTTGAAATTACAGGTTGCCTCATTAACTTCGTTTGATGGGAATTTTCCTAAAGTCCACTGGTAGAGCGTATTGGTAGAGAATGACGGGTCGATAGGTTGAACCCCAGTGGTGGCAGTGTTTTTCATTACTCCTTTCTTAGACCATATTACCAAAGAGATGATGAATGAAACTATCACCAATAAATCTTATGTCTGTATGATAAAGGGAATATTTTACATGATAATCTATTTCATAATAGATTGATGATGCTTATTTTATTTTGACCTCCAGGGGCCTAAGGAGCAAATTAAGGCCCCATTCATTTGCTGGAATGATATAACTTAAACCAAATATGGTTTGAAGTATCCTTGTAAATGGGAAACAAGTTTTTTATTATAAGTTTTTATATGACACAACAAAAAAAATCAGATACAAGCTCAAACTCATCTACAATGACCAGCATGTGTATCACACATGTGGCTTTCCTTGATGATGACATCACTTAACCACAGAGATGCTCGAGTTTGCTTGCAGTAGCCCAGAAGTACACATGTACAACCAAACCTTGTTACCTTGGACGAACTTCTAGATAATTAAGGGTTCTTCGAGTTAAACCAGTTGGAAATAACGAGGTTCGACTGTATTTTTAAATCTCCTATTGAATTGGAATGACATTTAGATGAAAAATAGATCAAAGTAAGATGGAAGATATGTGTATATATGTTTAACCAAGTTTTTATCATTGCATCCTTTTCTTCTGAAATGAGCAATATTTCTTGGTGAACTTCTTTTTCATAACACAAATTACATAACATCACGATAAAACAATTTTTCCTGATTTGTTTTTGCATTATTGCATATCAAGTGTAACACACTATGAACAATAGACATGGTAGGATGTTTGACATGTAAAAAGTCTATGAAGAAAAATTACAAAAAATTGCCAATGAAATATGTGCTCATAATATTTTTCTTCTGAAATTTAATAACAATAATTTTTCATTATTGAATACATGTCATGTTACCGCACCATGCAATGTAGCGTTCAATAGTTCACGTGATACAAAAAGGCCATTCCAAAATATGTTACATTTTAACTTAATATGGTCTGAAACATCCTTTGAAGAAAAACAAATAGAGTAATACATTTTATTAAATAGTTTGGATTCATTTAACATAGATAAAGCCATTGCAGCCAAACAGTCAGGTGAGTGATTTAAGGTTTTTTCATTTAAAACCAATTTTCATCAGGTAATACTTACCATAACTTTAGTATGCAAATATGGTACCTACATCCATCTTTGTATCCTTTATGGAGCACGACTGAAGGGCAGCCAGGCAGAAAAGGGATGGAAGGATAGGGTGGGACTCCATAAAGTTATGATAAGTATTCTCTCATGAAAATTGGTTTTACATGAAAAGCCTCAATTTCATTTCAGTAATAATTACCAAAACTTTAGAATGTGAATTCGTCTTACCGTAGTAGTGACTAGATGCCAGGCAGCCCATCCAGCACAGCCGTAGTAGGGAGGGACAACAGAGTGTCAGAGAGTTGGAAGGGACCTCCCCGTTTAGGAGTAGGTGTACCCATGTGCTGTCCTCGTCCGAGTATCAGAATGCTCGTAAGCGTACGTAATGACCTGAAACCGAGTGTCCCTGTTTGATGGGTAGCGTAGCCTCTGGGCCATTGTAGGCAAGGAGGAAGCGACGACGAGGTGTGTACTTCACTCCTCCTATGTCCAAAGCCCAAGCCTTCGGATCTGGAAACGTGATGGTCAACTGCATCTCCTGGCAGAGAAGAAGAATGCGAATGGCGAGAGCACACAGGACGTGAGACCTGGTGTCCCCTTGTCTCTCCAGATATGCGACAACTGTAGTGTTGTCTGTAGCCACATCAATCATTTTGGATGGCAGGATCCCACAAAATGACTGCAGAGTCAAGAGAACATCCCTCATCTCGAGCACATGGATACGCTCCAAGAGGTGTTTCCCAGATCATTCCCCCGAGCCCGAAAGGCATGGTCCGGAATTGGAAGACCTCCCCGGAGGAGGACCGCCGTCCACCCGACCCAGCTCTTGATCTGCCGCGGCCAAGAAGCTGAAGGAGTCAGGAACCATTCTTCTTGCCCTCAGAAGGGTTTTTCTTGCCCTCAGGAGGGTTTTTACCCTACCTACCCTTCCCCTTGTTGCCCTTCAAGTGAGGCTGTGCAGAAGACTGAGCAGCTGAAGACTTCGCCCTCTTTTTGCACAAGAAGTGCCGAGGCGACTGAGTCCTCCTTTATATCCTTCTGTACAGAAGGAAGCGCTCCCCCAAACAGGGTAGAGCGCGAGAAGGGGGTATTCAACAATCGGGAGAGGTAGAGTTACTCAACCACCTGGCCAACGCGACATTGTCGAGCAAAGAAACTTGCAAAGCCGCCGATGATCTCAGTTCCGTGTTCTGTTCTGCCTCAGATATCCGACCTTCAGGTCAGGTGTGCGAACAAAGTTCACACGGCGAAGCCTCACTGCAAGGGCGGCACAGGCGACAGGCATCATAGGGTCCTGCTCTCCAAAGAAAAGTGAACATCCATGTGCTGGACCCGACGTAACCCGGCGCTAGCCATACTAGAAACGATGATACAATTGTAAACAAAAACTAACAAAACAAACATGAACGAAACCAAAACCAAGTCGTATAACGATGATATAATTTGGAAGATGGGAAAATAACTTCAAAATGAGTAACAAATAATACTCCTATAATGCATTTATGTACTACGAGAAAGGAACCGAAAGCACTCAGCTAAAACCGGACTCGGCGGCAGCCATAAAGGAAAGAGGAAGGGAGATCACTCTATACTTCTGCCGTGATGGCTCATGGATCGTAGGGAGGGCGGGATTTTTTTAATCTTGTGCTTTTCGGATACCAAGATGGGTGTAGATACCATATTTGCATACTAAAGTTATGGTAATTATTACTGAAATGAAAATAGACCATATAGGCCTGTTGTTCACTCCAATTTTACCTGAGATTTAGATTGAGATTAAATGAAACGAAGACCTCTTTCAATGATTGTTTCATACATTTAATTAACATTCTTTAATAAGATCCTCTATATACACATATTTACGTTATCAAAAAGACCACTGATAACAGAAAGGGTTTGCTGTGGCTAAGCTAAGAAGTCAAAAGCTCTTTGGGCCAGTTTCAAAATTGTGGAAAAGGACATAACAAAAAATAGTAGTAAATGGGTCGTAGAGGTTACAAAAAAAATGAAAACAGGATAATCACACTGCAAGTGACCTGTTAGAAGGTCAAAGAGGTTTCAAGGAAAGAGTGCAAAAAAGGACAGCCCCACAGAAAATGTCTTATAAACGGATCATAGAGGTTTCAAGTAAAGGTTAGGAAAGGATAGCCACACTGAAACTGTTCTGTATAGGGGTTATAGACGTTTCAACAAAAGGCTAGAAAAGGATAGCAACACTGAAAATTTCCTATAAAGGGGTCATAGAGGTGTCAGGAAAGAGTGCAAAAAAGGACAGTCCCACAGAAAATGTCTTGTAAAGTGGTCATAAAGGTTTCAACCAAAAGGTTAGAAAAGAATAGTCACATTGAAAATGTCCTGAAAAACGGTAATAGAGGTTTCATCAAAAGGTAAGAAAAGGATAGCCAAACAGAAAATGTCCCGTAAAGGGGTCATGAATGTTTCAAGAAAAGGTTAGAAAAGAATAGTCACACTGAAAATGTCATGTAAATAAATCATAGAGGTTTCAAGAAAGATTGAGGAAATGACAGCTACAAAGAAAATGTCCTGTGAAGGGGTTATAGAGGTTTCAAGAAAAGGTAACAAAAGGATAGCCACACTGAAAATGTCTTGTAAATGGGTCATAGATTTTTCAACGGCGAGTGAAGATTGGACAACCACAAAGAAAAAGTCTTGTGAAGGGGTAATAGAGGTTTAAAGAAAAAGTTAGAAATGGAAAGCCTCATTGAAAATGTCCTGTAAATGGGTCATAGATATTTCATGAAAATGTTAGAAAAGAATAGCCACACAGGAAATGTCTTGTAAAGGGGTTGATAGAGGTTACAAAAATAGGTTAGACAATTATAGCTACACTGAGAATGTCCTGAAAAAGGGTAATAGATATTTCAACAAAAGGTAAGGAAGTGATATCTACACTGAAAATATCTTGTAAAGGGGTCAAAGAGGTTTCAAGAAAAGCATAGAAAACGATGGCCTTACTGAAAATATCCTATATTGGGGTCAAAGAGTTTTCAAGAAAGAGTGAAAAAAGGACTACTACACAAAGATGTCCTGATAAAGGGTAATAGATGTTTCAACAAAAGGTTACAAAAGGACAGTCACCTAGAAATTGTCTTGCAAGAGGGTTATTGAAGTGTCAAGAAAAATCTTGGAGAAAGGATAACTAGACTGAGAATGTCCTGTAAAGGGATCATGGGGGTTTCAAGAAAATGTTAGAAAAGGAAAGCCACATTGAACTTGTCCTGAAACATAGTAATAGATGTTTCAACAAAAGGTTACAACATGATAGCCACACTGAATATGTCTTGTAAAGGGGTCATGGAGGTTTTAAGAAAAGGATAGAAAAGTTAGCATCACTGAACATATCCTTTTTTGATGGGATCATAGAGGTTTCAAGAAAAGATTGGAAAAATGATATCTACACTGAAAATGTCCTGTAAAGGGGTCATTGAGGTTTCACGAAAAGGTTAGAAAAGGAAAGCCACACTGAAAATATCCCATATTTTTCCTGCAGTAAGTCTGTCCATATATATAAATGTTAAGTTCAATCACAAACGATGCTATTTTGTTGTTCTGTAATAAGCCTACCTACTGACATGTGTAAAACTTATAATGATGCCTTACTTTGTAAGACGTAGTGTGGTGCTTTACTGTGTAGGATGTAGTGTGGTGACTTACTTTGTAAACGTAGTGTGATTTTTTACTTTGTAAGACAAAGTGTGGAGCCTTACTTTGTAAGACAAAATGTGGTGCCTTACTTTGTAAGACGTAGTGAGGTGCTTTACTTTGTAAGACGTAGTGTGTTGTCTTGCTTTACTTTTTCTTACAAAAGAGATTTTTTTGAGAAAAGTGCATTCTTTTCATTTTTTTTTTTTAATCTACTAAGAATGCAATTTCTTTTATGTTTATTTCTTTTCGTTTTCTATTTTCTTTCATTATAAAAACATGCATTTATTTTTCCATTTCCAGTTATATTCACGTGTCTCTTTGAACTGAAAGATGACCCTAATTGTTGGCTCAGAGTTCATCAACAGAGTAACATGGATTATTCGAATTGGAGAAAAAGAAGAGTATGCTAATTAATAGGGCTTGTCTATGATTCAGAGTTTGAAGGTCAAAGGCAAACACATATCAAACCAATGACTTCAAACAAGTGACTTCACTTCTTATAGAAGTGTGACCAAACAGTACTAGAATATGAAAATGACTGTTGATAGGTTTGTGTTTGATAAATCAAACGTCAAGATGATTATCATTTTTTAAAGTGTTTATAGAAATTTGTCAATCAGTCAATCGTGCATCGTAAACAATTTACCTTTTCGACTAAATAACCAAAAGGCTTAAGTTCATGGTAATGGGCCAGTGGCATGCTGTGATGAAGGATTACAAAGTTTTTGTTTTTCAAATGAATGACCTTGACTTTCATTCAAGGTCACACGGGTCAAATGCGTTAAAATATTTAAATATCTTCCTTTTCAATAATCAAATGGCCAGGGATCATGATATTAGGCCAGTAGTATGCTGAGAAGAAGGGCTGTCATATTGGTTTAAGTGAAAGACCTTGGCCTTCATTTAAGGTCATAGAGGTCAAATGTGTTAAATTTTTTTAACAATTTCTTCTGAATAACAAAATGACCCAGGATCATGATATTGGGAGAGTGGCATGATGGGATAAATAGGGTAACATGATTGTTGTAATGAATGACCTTTACCTTTATTCAAATCATTAAAACTTTTGTGAAAAGAAATTACCATGACCCATGTTGAAAGTCACAGTGATATAATTAGTTGAAAAACTTGTAAAAGACTTCTGCTGGTAAACCAAAAGTCTGAAAAGCAGAAATTTTGGTCGAAAAGTGTTTCTAGGTCAAAGCCCAACAATTTGTTATATAGAAATGTTATTTACCTATAATCCAAGTCATAACTGTCACTGTTTTAGCCTTGAGGATTAGAAGCAGCTTGTTGTAGAAGTTACTTAAAAGTAATTAGGTGTGTCCACTTTGAATGCCAATGGTGTACATATCAACATATTGGTGATTTTTACACTGATTCTACAGGCTCATTGGGCCTCTTGTCTGATAATGCAACATTGATTATTTTCTAGGGTTACACACCATCATATCTCACTGGTCCAGAATATGCTGCTCAAGGAGACTGGTACATGATCTTTGAAACAAGCGGTAATGTGCAAGAGAATGACACAGCTGTACTGCGGACAGAGTTAATCCAAATCGGTAAATAATTACGTTCTCTGAAAGTTTTAAAGTTAGAATTAAAAAAAAATGTCTGCTACATTATTGGTTACGATGTCGACGATGATGAAGTTGATGATAATGGTAATGATCACGATGATTGTCTGTCATAAACTTTTATGTATCTTTCAGACATGTTACATTATTCTAGTAGTAGACAATCAATGAAATCTAGCAATAATTTCAAACTGAATGGCCTTGTTGCTGCTAAATAGAAGCAGAGATGTCCTTTATAAACTGAATCTTTATTTTGAGCACACAGGACATGTGAGTTCATGCTATGCAATGTCCGTCATCCAGCATCAACTTTTCCCTTCAAACCACGTCTTCTCAATAACCAAAAGACCCAGATTACTGATTATTGACCTGTTGTATACTTGATTAAAAACTGTTAGTTTGTGCATATGAATGAAACACTTTCAAGATCACAGAGGTCAAATGTATCAAAAGTCAAAATAACCAAAAGGATAGTGATATTGGGCATGAATCATGCTTGGATGAAGGACTACCAGAAGTCTGAGATGCTGATAGCATGCATTGGTGAGGGACTACTATGTCTGTTCAAACAAATGACCTTGACCCACTGTCAAGGTCACAAGGGTGAAACCGAATAAAATCCTTCCCTACTTGAAAGGTCACGGGGTCAAATGTACTAAAAAAATTTCTTCGTTTCATCAAGCATTTACGATCTATGGTCATGTTGTTTGTGTAGAGGCATGTTTAAGGAATATTCTTCCAGTTTGTAAAAAAATGACTTAATGAATCGACATAGTCTTCTGGGTAAGCTGCATAACAGGTAGGCAGTTTCTAGGTCAGTGTTTATTATTTTTTATAGAGAATACAAGTTGTCTGTACTTCTACTACCACATGTACGGTGAAGACATGGGTACATTGGCCATATACACAGAAATGAACATGTATAGGAGTAAGCTGTGGACTGAATCTGGAAACCAGGGTATTCTATGGCATTTTGAAAAAATCACCATTCCAGCAGGCACCCAAAGAGTGAGTTATCTGCCCTGTTTGTCATATCAGTAACATGTTCAAGAGTTACTCTATCAACTATATATCTATTAGTTAAGGTTATAAATGGTTAGTGTCGACCGATAAATGTCCAATCAATAACCGGATAGCATAATCCTTAAATAGTGTTACTGAAAAATAATCCAGGTTTTTTGTAGTTTTATTATTATTATCATTACTGATATAAACTAATAATATTGCATTAGTTGTATTAGAATAGTCTTGCTGTCAGTTGCTTATACTGTGTATGTCAAACTAATGAGTACACTATAACATGACCTCTTAACACTTCTAACTTCCTAACACCATTTACAGAAGTGTAACTTTTACATGAAACCACATAAATTACTATCATGTGTGATGATGAGTTGTTTTTTGTTTTTTCAGTTTGAATTTGAACTGAAAGTAAACAAAAATATTCAATTGAATAACAAAAAAGAAACATTTTATTTGGTGTGTCATGGTCTTTTTATTGGGTGTGTCATGGGCTTTTTATTGGTCTGTGTGTCATTGGCTTTTTATTGGCCTGTGTGTCAAAACAGAATAAAAATTGAAAAACTAAAACAGTGCTTATTGTAAATATTATTAGACCTGAAAATAAAAACATTATCTCCCTGGCATATGGTAGTTAGATAAAGGCAGAGTAAGGTAGTGAAACGAAAACATATCATCGCTGACCTTATATAATGATTTACCTTTGTTTGCATACACTTTCTGACATAACCTACAAGTGGCTTTGCTTTTCAATTGTCAGTCCTTCATTATTTGTATTAAAATCTGAACACTTTCCAACCTTGAATAGCATGATTGGTAAGAAACTATAGTTAAAAGTAAAACAAAAGCCCCCCCCCCCCCCCCCCCCCCAATCCGCCCACCCCACCCAAATTTTTTTTTAAACACAAATAAAACCCATACTCCTGGTCCTCATTAAAAATCGTTACAAGTCATGAACAACTGGGGCTGGAGGGGCGGGACCCAAAAGGGGACATTTTGCAAATTCTTTAAAATCCTACACTTCCTGCAGACATTAATGGAAATTTTTCAAATTTGGTCTGAAGCATTCTTGGGTGGAGGAGAATCAATAGTGTGAAGACGTTAGGGGAGTTAGGGGCAGGACCCACTAGGGGAAACAAAGCAAATTATTTCAAATCCTGCTTTTCCTGTAGGAGTGATCTGGTTTTGCCCACATTTTGTATGAAGCATACTTGGGTGAAGGGGAATCAATTTTGTATAAACGTTTGGTCTCGGTCCCCTTAGGTGGGAGTGGTGTGGCACAATACTGGAAATAGGGCAAATTCTGTAAAGTCCTATCTCTCCTGTAGGAATGATTTGGTCTGAAGTTTGAAACATTTTAGTAATCACCCTAACAACAAAGGGTTACGGTTCAAAATAGATATGTATTGTATGCTTGGATATTTAGAATTCCTTTTCTTTAAGTCTTAAGAAAGCAATTTCAGCCAAGCAAAGCCAGGTGAGCAATACAGGTCCTACCAAATTGCATTTCATGGACAATTGATGAATGTAGCTCAGTAAATTTACTTATACTGATTTTAACAGTTTAAGAATTAAAAGTTCCATGGTACACACAAAATCAATTAAAATAGATAGTCATGGAAATTGAATATTTTGAAGTATCACATCAAATAATGAATGGCAATTTCATGTTACATCATAATTCAATCTCCATAACACACCAGTAACATGTAAAGAAACTGTCTTGTTGTGGCATCAATGGTCCTTATGAATGACAGAGGTTTTGCATAGACATTGTAGTCAATTATAACAATCATAGCTGCTAAAGCAAGACAGTTCCCCATCAAATTAACTGTTTTGTAAAATAATACCAAACATAGGTGTGTGGTGTCATTACTTTTGTCGCACGTTTTACATTTTTGTAATGTTTCTATTTGTGATAGATTATTATAGAGGGTACGGATGGGATTGGTGTTACCGGTGACATGGCTCTTGATTATATTGTTTTGTTGGACAAAGAGTGCCCACAAGGTAAGTAAATGATAAGTAACAGTGTTGCCAACTCACTTCATTTTGTCGTTTTGCTCTAAATTTGCCTATTTTTATACTTATTGCTTTGTCATTAGTTTGGATTCACGAATTTATTGTGCTAATTTATCAAATGGTGATAATGCAATTAATTTTAATTGTGTCAAATTAAGTGTGTTTACTTAAGTATGACCTATTTAAATCCAGTAAAAAAATTAAATAACTTGATAATTCTTTACTTTCAAGCAGTATTTATCCAATTTAAAATATCTATATCTAAATACACAAACACATGAAAACTCTACAGTATAATTGATGTTAAAGTTTTTTTACCTTTTGACCGTATAAAACACTGTCACCAGCCTAAAAAATAAGCCTTTGCTGAAAATAACCTTGTAGTTTCTTACATAAATAAACATTCTATTAAAGAAGTTAAACTGTGTCATATGTGACCTAGATATTTGCAATTACCTGTTGTCTGTCATTATGTGTAATAAAGAAGTATTCTGAAAAGTCCAAGGGACAGGGTCAAACACAGTCAAATATGAATAAAAAAATCGAAAAATCCTTAATTAATTAATGATTTTACTTTGACCCACTCCAGTTTAACCTTGACGCGGAGCCTGAGAAATGTGATTCATAGGAGTGAAAACGGCTAAAATTTCAACATTCAAGGAAGGGTGAATATCTTATGGGTGGAATGTTCTTAAGGTCCAAAAGTGTTTAAATTTTGTTGCAATTTCTTCAATTGGAATAACTCTATTTAATGAGGAGAGGGAACATTGTAGTCATATACTGGAATGATAATTTACTTCTACGTTTTTATTTCTTTTCATTCTAAATAACTTAAATTTAGTTAAAATTGGTAGTTAGACCCTATTTCTAAAAGAGGTCAAATAAGCTCTAACTTGACAATTTTCTTCTTTCATTCCACTTTTGCTTAAGTTAAATACTAGTCATTTGTTGATTGGAGTATATCAGATAGAGCATTTGTGTTGTTTTACTCCGCCCAACGCAAATGGGTTCCGTCCGTCCATTCATCCATCAATTCGTCTGTCCTAATTCTGCTTTCTGCATGATATCTTATAAAGGACTGGTTGGATTTTGATAAAATATGCTTGGTACACTTGTTACCTAATTCTTTGCTCAAGATTGATTAACAGCGAAATAAGCACTTATTTCATAAGACTGCTGTGACTTGATCTGCCGATTTCTTTAATCACTCTCGATTGCTGCTTTCCGTATTATATCTTTGGAAGGACTGGTAGGATTTTGATGAAACTTGGTTGGTACACTTGTTATCTTAATCCTTTGCCCAAGTTTGATTAACGGCGAAATCAGCGTATAATTAATGAGGATGCTGTGACCTGATTGACTGATATCTCGTCTAGTTTTCCATGTTGCTCATTTTAAATGTATATATTTTACAAATGAACATGGGCGGGGGATCTTGATGACTATATCCTTGTTAGCACAAGAATTTGTTTGACTTGTTTGCTAGATGACAGTCGGTCAACAGCTCAAGACTATAATATTCGCCTAATTGGTGGAGACAAGGCAAGTTTTGGACGAGTAGAAATAGCTCCATCTAATGACTTTGCATTCCAAGCATTATGCACCTCTAATTGGGCAGAGAATAACTCTGAAGTGCTTTGTCGACAACTTGGATTCGGGTAAGAAACATTCACTTTGTATAGGCCCCTGTTGACATTGTTGAAATTTAAATCCGATGGATTAATTTTATAGTTTTCTATGGTTGATATCTTTTGTTTCATTGTGCTACCATATTTGATTCATTCATCTTAATAAATCATCATCCCCTTGCAGTGACTGTAGAGGGGGGTGTAGTGTTTCAGATGTTCACTTTTTGTCAGCAATCTAGCAACTTCATTTCTCCATCGATTTTATTCTAGTTTAACATAATGATCAGGTATCATAATACCTTGAACAATTTTGTGTTTCAGCATTCCATGGTCAACGTTAATGTCATCGTTACTATTTATAGAAAATCCTACATGCAACACAAATTCACTATAAACGTGAGGGAGAGGATTTGTATCGTTTCCGTTGCCCTGTCTTAATTACTTCAATATGAAAGTAGGGTATTTATTAATGTAATGATTTTAATTTATGTTGTAGCCCCGATAACATCTACACCCGTACCTATTTAGAGGGAGAGTATGCTAGCATAAGGACGTGGAAATTCCCTTTGGCGGACATCGCATTTTACTGCAATGGTTCAGAGAAATTATTGTCAGAGTGTAGAACAGAGAAGGATAAATGTACTGCTAAAAACCAGGTTGCAGTAGCCTGTTCAGATAATGGTAAAGCTTTAAATTATTTATGTAACCCAGATAAAATACTAACTGCAATATACCACTAGAGAGAACTCGATTGGTTGAGCGTCAGACTAGTAAACCAGGGTTTAAAACTGTAACATTTCTTCGATATTAACAGTATGTCACACTTGGTCAGATTTGTCACAATAAAATAGATTTTCTTCAAAAGTAAAAATTCACCTAAATGCCCATATAAACAAAATGTATAACTCTCAATTTTTCATTGTTTTTGGGCCTCAACTGAAAAGCTCAATGACCTAATGTGTTATTAAACTTCCTTTTCTCCAGGAAAACTTCATAAGTCATCATTTTAAAGTGTGTTTCATGGTACTGAAGAGTAAGCATAATTTACAGCATGTATTCTTACTTCAATTACATACTATTCTATGTGACAGCCTGGTTCACTGGAGAGTATATACTAGTTCTATGTGATGGTCTGTTTCACTGAAAATTATATACCATTTCTATGTGACAGCCAGTTTCACTAGAGAGTATATACTATTTCTATGTGACAGCCTGTTTCACTGGAGAGTGTATACTATCTTTTACGCGACAGCCTGTTTCGCTGGAGAGTGTATACTTTTTTCTATGTGACAGCCTTTTTCGCTGGAGAGTGTATACTTTTTCTATGTGACAGCCTGTTTCAATGGAGAGTATATACTATCTCTATATGAGAGTATGTTTCACTGGTGAGTATATATTTTTCTTATGCGACAGCCTGTTTCACTGAAGAGTATATATTATTTCTATGTAACTGCCTGTTTCACTGGAGAGAATATAGTATTTTAATGTAATGGCCTGTTTCACTTGAGAGAATATACTATTTCTATGTGACAGCCTGTTGCACTGGAGAGTATATACTATTTCTATGTGACAGTCTGTCTTGCTAGAGAGTAGATACTTTTTCTATGTGACAGCCTGTTTCGCTGGAGAGATTGCCTGTATTTCCCCAAGAATTGACCATGTACCTGCTAATGCCACCTGTGTCAAAGAGGAGAAATGGTGTGATGGCAAAGTAGACTGTCCCAAAGCTGAAGACGAACATTATTGTGGTAATTATATTGTAATATCCCATGATATAATGGGACAGTTATGTTGTCATTTCTTCTGATATACTGGAACAGAAAAACTCAAAATAAATAATGACAGAAAAGTATATAATCCTGTATATATTTAATGTTTTCCATGTTTCAAGCATTATTTAAAAAGTGTATTTTGAAGAATCTAAATAGTACAAACATGTAAAGAATGCTTTTCATTTTAGGTAACTGCAGCAATGATCACTACGAGTGTGACAACCATAAATGTGTGTCCTTGTCAGAGCGTTGTGATGGTAAGAATGATTGTGGAGACTGGTCGGACGAGCACTTCTGTGGTGAGTATTTATTTTATTGAAAGACTTCCTCACACTGATATTCTAAAATATTTTCTTATGTAAATACACCACTTTAAAATCAATAATTTTCATAGAAGATTCTTTTCAATTAAATTAATACTGTTAATTCATGAATGTAAAGGTCAACAGTTTTAAGGTCATAAAGAGGACCACCGTCGTGAGCCATGCACTCTCTGTAAACTTTTCCTTTAAAACGATATTCCTGCTTAATGCCTTGGTAGATTTCAATCAAATTTTGTCTACTTTTAGACTACTTTTACTACTTTTATTTAATGCTTGAATAGATAATATTTTAAATTTGTCTGTAATATCAAAAGAGGTTGACAAATAAACCTTTAATTCAGAAAGTTGATTCAACCCCTAGGAACTTGGAGAAAAGGGAAAATTAGACAGTATTTTGCTTCAAAATGCTACTCCGACTTCATGCCTGGGTAGATTTCAACTAAGTTTGGTCTGAAACATTGTTGCAAGTTGGTTATCATTTCTAAAAATTGAAAGTTGATTTGATCCCCAGAGACTTGGGGGCTGGGCTCCAATTGGGAAAGTAAGTCATTATTTGCTTCCAAAAGCTACTCTTCCTTAATGCTTGAATGGATTTTAAAATGTGTGGTAAAAGCATCATTGTGGGTAAAGAATCATTTCTTATATTCAGAAAGTTGATTTAACCAATAGGGACTTGGGTGGGGCATCAAAGGATAAGTTGGACAATATTTTGCTCCAAAACACTACTCCCTTTTTTTCTTGTTGTTACATATTGCAAACATGTATTGACACATCCTTACACACTCACACAAACAAAGATACATATTTACATCAATATATAGATACAAACATGGATGCATGCATGCAGCCTCATATACATGCATGCAAACACGCATACATATGCACGCACATACACATGTATGCATACGTACATACATGTACATACTCATATGCCTACTTACACACATAGATACCCACACTCACTTATACATACATATACTAAAACACACGTACATATGTATACAATTAAATGTAGAACACGTATCCCTATTTATTGAGAGTATATGCTGGTAAGTTCAAACTCTTCGCACTTTACTGATAGGATACTTATAAACATATACCTATTTATAAGTTATAATTGATAATAAAACATAAGTAGAATGATTGTTTTCGCATATAAATGTAATGATACCTTGTTCCACTGCCTATATTTTGGCTAGAATTTTATTCATTTTTTGTCTAATAAAAAAACGATATGTTGAGGTTTCACAGGATATTTATCCGATGGGCAGTCACTGTTTTCATCTTGACTCATAGAGGATATGCTGCAATATTATTGGCTTTATACTTTCTACGTTTTTTACGTGATAAATATACCTGACCATAGTGCCCATATCTCAGTTTCATTTTTCCCTTTGGCTATCACCTTGTCAGTTTCATACATATTAGATAAGTATTTTTTGAACTCAGTCAAACTTGGATTTCTTTTCTGTCTAGAGCTATAGTAGATACAAAAATTAGCATGAATCATAATAGTGTTCGCTGGAATAGACTTTTGAAAGACAGATGTTTTACCAAATAAAATAATATTCTTTTTTTTTTATTTCAAAAGATTGGTTGGTTTTTAAGTGTATCCATCTGCATATGTCCAGCCAGAAGTTTAGTGTTATTTGACAATCATAGAAAAGGGTGTTCAATGGTTTCTTTGGTTTCTGTACACAGATTACATAAATCGCATTGTCTATTTCCAATTATTTTTAGAAAGTGATTAAGAGGAAGTATTCTACAAATAAGTCTAAAAATAAACAATGAAATACTGCTGTCTTTTGTAATTTTGAAAGGGAGAGCAAATTTGTTTTCCTCTTCATATTTGAACAGGACTGGTTAATAGATATCCAATTGTCTATTCCAAGTAAAGTAACTCTCGTTGTTCCCCATTTCAGTTTCCATCTATGATGGTATACATCAGCACTAAACTTTTTACTCCCTATCCAAATAGCATTTCTTTTTACTGTATTTACGTTCAGCCCAGATATTTTAATATATTTGTCTAACATGTTTATAGCCTCTATGAATGAAGATTTTGAGCCATTTAAAATGAAAGAAGTGTCATCAGCAAACTGTGATAGCCTGTGTTCGTTATCATTTACTTGTATTCCTTTTTATTATTATTTTTAACCATAATAGTTAGTATTTCAACTACTAAAAGAAATAAATAGGTTGAAACATGATCCCCTTGTCTACAACCCCTTTTTATGTCAACAAATCTAAATAAAAAGCCATTCTGTATGATAGCAGAAGAAGTATTTGTATTAAAAACTTTAATCAATTTACTTATGCTAGTTCCAAACTTGAAAAAAACATAATACTTTATTAAGATAGGACACGGAATCAAATGCTTTTTCAAAATCGATAAAAATAAGTTGTCCAGGAATGTTATATTGTTCTGTATAGTTCATTACGTCATAAATTAACCTTGTATGTATCACCAATGTATCTTCCACTTACAAATCCTGTTTGTGTTGTAGAAATTATAGAATCAAGCACAGATTTTAATCTATTTACTATACATGCAGGGGATCATTTGTAATTTATGTTAAGAAGGGTGATAGGTCTCCAGATTTTTTAATATTGTCTTGGTTTATTACCTTTGGGAAGACATATTATGATGCCCTGTTTTTGTGTAACAGATAATTGATCATTTCTATATTCTTCATTAAGAGATCTTATGATAAAATGTTTTAGGTCTTGTCATTATTTTTTAAATTCAGAAGTATACCCATCTGATCCTGGTGATTCATTATTTTTCATATCTTTTAGAGCAAAAAACACTTCATTTTCTTTCAAATCTCCTTCAATGTTATTTGTTTGATAGTCACTAAGTATGTTAAGTTCATAATCTTTAAGAAATTCTTCCAGGTCTACATCCTCAATATTTTCAGAGTGTTTTGAGTATAGATCTTTATAAAATAATTCAATTTCCTTCAACATTTCGTCCTGACTAGTGATAAGTTCCCCATTTTTTTTTTCAAGGTGCACTAAACGTTATCAAATTGTGATAAAATATAAATACTTCATATGGAAATATTCAGTAGCTGCATCTCGATCAATTCACCATGATCTACTCTAATGGTTGATGATGTTATGTTGGTAGTGTGGCCCGTTGCTCTATATGTGTTACAGTGAGTATGTGTGTGGGAAAGTGGGGACAGGGGATGTGTTGTAGTACTACATAGAGAGAAAAAAACTATCCTCTCCGAGATATACTGTTAATTGCTTTCATTTTTATGCTTTAGGGTTCTATTTGATGAAGGTTTGGCTTATACCGAAAGCGAAATGGTATAGGGTATATTCTATATGTAGTAACAGATACAGACACAGTGTTTACGGTGTAATTGTTTTCCTTTTTTTTTTCTTCTTTTTTTGTTCTCTATATACATATAATCTCAAGTAACTGTTCAGTAAGACTGACCGTTATTGTGCTCACACTATAGATATTGGGCTCTATGTGAAGTCGATTATATGACAGATTGTGGGCAGGTCAACTTTGATTATCAAAAATTGTGTATATTGGGCAAAATTATAAATGTGCAGTATATCTGAAAAATGTCGTTTATGGAGAAAACAAAACATCTTCCACTGATCCGATGGAACAATCTTACATCGAAAATAAACTAGATAAACTAATGTACTGTCAAAATGGCGACAGTGAAAATTCCGGAAACGATAATCAATCAAGTAAACGAAATTAAAAAAAACAGAGTCCAAGTGATCAGCACTGTGTGCTTACGACTGTGACCATATAGCACATGACGTACTTGTAGGTCCCTAGTTTTAGCTCTGTGTGATATAACAGAAACATATCTTTATGTAAAATACAAATCATCTTCGACTGATCAGATGGAAATATCTTACACTGGAAGTTAACAAAAGGAACTAATGTACAGACTATCATGGTGACATGAAAATTCCTGAAACGATAATTATTCAAGTAAACGAAATAATAAAAAGAATCAAAATGTCAGCAGACCATATCACTAAGATTCTAGAATTTTCCCTCTGTCTTGATGAGTACCGACTTTGAAAAAATTCCCATTTTTGCTTTTAACCTGAAGTTTGCCGTTGATGGACCACGATGAAGTTATCTTCGGATGTTGGAAGGCTTTGTTCAGTACACCTCGGTTTACCATTTCTGTATGGACCAAGTCGGTGTGCTATGTCGATGTCCGTTTCCAAAACGTTGAGGCTTTCTTTACATAACATTATCACTTTTCTAGTAGTACTTAGTATTCTGTATTGTCTCTTTTTCATCGGTGTCCTGTATACCAGTGATCCTAATGGAGTTGGATCTACCATGTTGTTCTAGGTCAATAATGGCCTTGAAATTGTCCCAACAGTGGCCTTCTATTCCTAGAAGTCTCTGTTCTTGATTTAGTGATTTTTTTTATTTGTTCAATTCTTTTTCTTAGAGTGTCATTGGTAGTACGGAGATCGTGGATCTCTCCCTTCAATTTATCCACTTCTTCTTTATGTTGTTCTTTCAAATTGCTTAATTGTTTCGCAAAATCGTGTTGAAGTTTCTGTACTGCCGATTCGAACTCCACTGTCTCCGCTTTGAGATCATCCACTTTCACCACTTGATGTAATAACGACTCTTAATCAGTCGTTCGCCAATGTCAATGTCTTTGTTCACCGTATATTCATATATTGTCTTTTGGTCCGACTCTGTCCTAAATCTTTTGTCTTCCTGCTTTTCCTCGTTTTTTGTTTTTGTTTTGTTTTTGTTTTTGAATTTGTTTTACTTTGTGTCTCCAGAGTATGCTCAAAACTACAGAGTCCTGTCTACCTCACATAGGTGTGTTAGACTCTTCAAGCGAAGCCATTTTATATGATATATATATATATATATATATGGATACAGTGTAAACACAAACAAAGTTCTACACTGGTCACTCCATAGCTTACAACTCGTGCAGGTGCCCGCTAGATATAGGTTT